TTCTCATTTCGGTACATCACACGCCTATTTTGTACTTTTGTTACAGTAAATATTCCTAGAACTTCTTCGTTCACTTGTGGCGGACTCATTTCTATGCCTGTTTTATTCGAACGCCATCAATATTTCCGGGATTTGAACCTACGACCTGACGCTTAACGCCGTGCCTTGTAGTCAGACAGCCGGTAAATTTTTTTGCACAATTAATAGACCCTATGTTGCTTTAAAACCCAGATGCACCCAGATAGGCCAATGCACTTTTGCGTCTAAAACTTAGTTTTTCACACAAAGTAAAATCACAAAATATTTAAGCATTTTAGTAAAGTAGTTACGGACATACATATTTTATTAAATCCGTCACATTCTTTCTGACATCCCTTAAGATCGCTCATATTTTATCTAGTCACGTGATCGTTTCCTACATATTATTTACTGTACTATGATAAACTTTGCCCTTATTCCAACAACTGTGCCAAAACGCAGACAAAACGTGACAAGATAAGAGTGGGGCAAGTTCAATGCTTCGACGTTTCTGTTTTTCGCACATTTAGGCCACTGTCACTTGTCTAGTCGAAAATCATCATTCTTAATCTTCGATCTTACTTCGTTCTTTTAACCGACCGAGGAAAGTGATATTATTTTTTGTGTACGTAGGTATTGTTAACGTAGTTGAAAATTATGTAATTTTACTTTGATATGAAAAAAACCTATTTCATGTGTATACCAAGAGTAACTAACCCTAAATACGACTTAAAACATTGCAAACAACAGATGTCATGCAGAATTCTACCCAAATGTTATATTGCATGACCAAGAATCAAATTTGTAATCCTATGAACTTAGTCCGACACTACTCACTAATCTAATCCTTTTTTGTTAGACATTGCACTTTATTTTTAAATAGTAAAAAACGGCAAAGGTATTTAATTATCTAACAATAAGTAGGAATCAAGCTGTTAGATATAAGAGAGCAGATTATTAATCAAAAAAATAGTCAAGGCAACTACGAAATGTAATCATTAACACAATGATATTAATAATTAATGATTACAAGGTGAACTGATAACCATTTCTATCTATACTTTACACACATATATAAAGGCGAAGAGTTTGTTTATTTGAACGCGCTAATCTCAGGAACTACTGCTCGAAATGATTGTGTTGTGTGTTGTTTAGAACATTTATCGAGGAATATATGGAACAAACGGCAAAGATTATACTTCGAAAACAGTTAAAGATACACGTAAATATGTATGAAAGAATGATTCTTCTTTAAATGATGTAAAAAATTGTCCCTTTTTTTATTATGTATTTATCTTTTAAGATTACTTAGCAAGAACGGATGCGCGGGATGAGAAGGTTTGCAAAAAAAAAAATTATCGCCAAAAATAACTATCCTACGCGGACGAATTCGCTGATTCAGCTAGAACATTTATAATTATGAATACATTCGTTCGGAAAAATGGTTTTCTTTTATTTTTCATCGGCGAAAATAATGATAACTATTTTAATGCTACACGAGCCCAATCATTGAATAATAATAATTTAGTATTTCCCGAATTAGCAATATAGGATTTTTCCACGCGCTACGTCCGGGAAAACAATTATGATTAGCAATATAGAATATAGATTATTATGGAAACTTACTGACTTGCCAGTTAAATTACTATTATAATAATACAGTAAATGAAACTTATGTTTGCAATTATTTTTTTTATTGTCTGTGGTTTATTGAGATCTAACGATGTCTTTGTATGATGATAATTATGTCAACATTGAGTTTGTAAAACATCTCTACAAATATAACAGTAAATAATAACATCACTCTTAATTATAATCAGAACATAACAATACGTAATTATTTTTGTAATATTAAACCATGAGATTTGGTTTTGTTATTGTTTATTTTAACGAAACACGAAAAGAGTTTAAAATTCAATGTCCATGTCAAACAACGTTTGAACAATTGAATGATTACATTTGTTTTGAAAATTTTTATTGTTTTATTAATATACTCCATAGATCTTCAACTTTTTTAGGTATTTTTGATGAGCATTTTGTCCGTTTGTCAGTCGGTAAATCAGTGTTCAGGATAAAGAGTTTTAAACAAACAAATGTAAGTAATTTACAACTGTACTTAGTTTACATAATTACTATAATCGATTTGATACAGAGGTTTCAACATCCGCATTGTAGGACCCTATTAAATCTTATTGCATCGGTTTGTTTGTAATATTTTGCATAACAATATGTAGGTACGTAGTTAAAAACGTACTAGCCACTTACAAATTAAAGGACCTCCTTCGCTTTCATATTTAAAAAATATAATACCGGAAATAGTTTTGTTTACTTGCGGAAATGCTTTTCGATTAATAAAACCACAGATAAAACATGATGAAGTAAAAGTAACTGCATGAATAAATGCGTTAATTATAAAGTCTCTTTGATTTCACAATATAGTGAATAAAAAAATTAATTGGATAAATCTCCAGTCAACGTAAATATCGAATACAGACGTTTCTACTGGCTTGTTGGTGTAATGGTAGCAATGTATGGCTAACAATCAAGTCGTGGGTTCGACCCCACCGGATCCAACAGTGTCTAATCAAGTCATAATTTTTCTGAAGCTTGTTGAACTTCGTCTGAAAATCTGGATATTCATGGGTGGTACGAATGTCTAAATTCCACCCGGGTCGCAAACCACAGATGAAAAAGCCGACAAGTTTAAACGAGTTTTGGATGTAGTCTGTGCATATCTGAATATACAAAGCTGGGTTAAATACCACCCTACCATCAAGTAAACACCAAGCTCGTCTTTCCACCTCTATGATAAAAAAAGCAAAATAATCTAATAAGCTAAGTTAGTCAAAACAGACAAATCTAAGAGTATCTATTTTGTTCTTTAGTGTATTTTTTTTTTAATTTTCTTCGTAGATCTTCCTTATTATTATCTTTATTGTTGTAATAAATGTTTAAACTGCGAGCATACGTGGTTGAACTTTATAAATTTGCAAGATTTTAATTACATTAATAGTTCAAAGCTCTGACTTCCGAGCATTGAATTAAAATTTACCATTTATAAGAATAAATAGTGGAATAATAATCTAATGTTCAGTAGGTAATGTTATTTCGACATAATTATATGCGCGAGATTTGCATGTATGTATGCATGTAGGTTGAAAACAATTCGACGATGGCATGTAGGACTCGGTAGCTCAATTGGTTAGAGCAATTTCTGCCGGAGTCGTAATTTTTTTTTAATTTATTTTTAGTATATTGGAATAGTAATCGAGTTTTTACAGACGGTAATGTTATATCGACTAATTGTGTAATTCATGCAAATCAGGTTTGTAGATCAAAACGTAAAACTCTCATGGATGTATATTAATATTTCTTCAAAATATTTATACCCAATTAAACGATATACAAAGTCGCCAAAACACGTGTAGAATAACTCTGTTTACTCGCCAAGTTATTTTCGACTGGCCCAAATATAGGAATGCTGAATGTTATTAATAGCGCACAGTCAAAGCTTCTGGGAAATTAGGTCTTAAATCTTCCAAAAGAAACTGCGGTTAAGTAACTTCATCTTAGCCATTTTTACATAGTGAATATTACAGAATCTATTAACTATACTATAGCGAAGACCAGAGTGAGACACATGAAACATACTTGTATAAAGGTTTTCTTAAATACTGTCTATAGTTTACGCGAGGAGTACACATTTAAATAAAACACTTTAACGGTTTAAAACGCGATATATTAGTTAAACTTATTTGAAAATAATTAACTAATATATCGCGTTTTAAACCGTTAAAGTGTTTTATTTAAAAGGTTTTCTTCTTACCTTTTAAATTCTCAATCCGTTTGAAGTCGATAAAGTTTACAAGACAAGGTGTTACAATTAAAATGTGCTTACATATATTCGTTCCTTTTTTAATGATACAGGAGGACAAGACTACACAAGACTACAAGTACACAAGATGCACTGTCGACCCATTACGGCTTCCGATGTTCGAAAATCTACAGACTGGAACCAACATGCGATTACGGACGGAGCCGAGCAGAATTTCGACATTCTCTCAACCCATTTATCCAGATTTCCAACGAACGATTATTAGCCATACATCGCTACCATTAACATTGAGATCACATGAACAAAAATAGTAATTTTCATGCGAAATCCCGTATGATTCTCCGGGACTCGAACCCAAGATCGCTGCACTAAACCGTTGTGCCAATCGCAAGTGACGCAATAGTATTTCGTAAATGCTATAATTATTTTTGATACACGTGTTTTAAAAACCTTTAAATATTTTGATTGAAATGAATGAAAATCTCATTAACACATTGTCGTGTATTGATCATTTAATTGTAAAACCAATTTTAACATTAGATCTTTGTTAGCTTAACGATTCGCAATACATGTCATAAGTTATCTATTATTCGATTAATTAGTACTATTTACCCTTCACTACAAGGACGCTAGTATTTTATGTTAGGCACTGATAACGCAACAAGTAGTTTTAGATTTTCGAATAAATATAAAAGGTGATTTTTTATTTAATGCTTTAGTATTTGTTTTTAACTGGTGTGACGTTCATAAGTTTAACTACTTAGCTATATGCATAAATAATTATGACTTTGATTTATGACGTGGAATGTATTGTCTCCCAGTCACCACACCTGCCGCAAATCATCCGAAACATCGGGCCGGAGTTGAAAACAATATAAATAAGTTAACTAATATATTTCGCGTTTTAATCTGTTAAAATGTCTTTTTAAACTCGCATAAACTATAAACAGACTGACTTGAATCGTTCTCGCTCAAATCAATCCGTTAAAAGTGATTTATTTAAAATAATCTTATCTCCCCGTGACCACGGTTGCTGCAGATCAGCCGAAACGTCGGGCCGTAGTTAAAATAATTTTCAAATAAGTTTAACTTATATATAACGCGTTTTAAACCGTTAAAATTGATTTTTTTATAATAATAATCTTACCTTTCAAGATGCGGCTGTGCACTGTGTATGTCAAATTTCGAAACTCCAGATCCATTTTGTCCGGCTGCAACAAAAAGTAAAGTAATAAGGAAATGGCGTACAGACAATAGAATTTAAAATTATATTTTAATATCGCATTAATGTCATATCTCCATAAAAAAATACAACGTTTTAATGCCTGACTTGGCAAGGCGTATTTTATGTATTTTAAATCCATTATATGAATGTTACCTGCCAAATTGGGATCGAATCTTTATGGTTAACGAGTTCGAAGAATGATGACTTCATCGAGAAAATTGCGATCATTTATTTTTACATCTCAATACGCAAAGCTTAAACTACGAGTCTTTAAAAGCTATACAAACACCTTTTTTGTGTGAATCTTGATGTTTTTAAATTAAGTATTATAATTTAAAAGTGGAAAATAAATTAAAAAAATAAAGACTCGGGCAGGACTTGAACCGGCATCGTCAGCGTTCCGTGCTGTTGCTCTACCAATTGAGCTACCGAGTCCTGGAAGAGCAACAGCACGGAAAGCTGGCAGTGCCGGTTCAAGTCGGTTTTAAATGATATAGCCATCATGTGCAATACGTGAAAAATATTAAAAGTTTTCAAAAGTTAAGTATTTTTAACGAAGTTAAACAACTAACTGAGTTTAAATTCAATGGTTTCTAGACCATTTATTTTTTAGGTGGTCGTAATATCGAAAATTCGAGAAAGAAGCCGGATTTTAATTTGAGCCTGTGGATTTTCGAATGTACAAAGCCAGAACACTCCATCGTTACATGATAATCAGATTTTTTAGGTGTCAAGTGAACCGTTTTGTTGCTGTCCTCGTTGTTAAAGAAGGCAACACCCTATTGTCCCAATGGTCACCGGCCTAAAACTAATGTATATTTTTAGAATTTTATGAGTATGATTGATTAATTTAAAATGGGTGTTATATTAATTCCATCCATATATAATACTAGCTGGTGCCCGCGACTTCGTCTACACAGGATTAGGATTACGTAGTATCGCGCATTCAAACTAAATGATGCCTATCATATCATACATTACATAATTATCTTTAACTAACGTTTATGGCAGCGCACGCCGGAATAGCTCGCAGGAAGGTAGGATTTTTCCTAGTTACTTGACACCTAATGTCATATTTTGGACAGCTCACACAATATCTTTATAAATTGTAGTCTATGTGTTATTGTTATGTATAAGCTATATTATTGGAAAGTTTAATTGAAATCCATTCAGTAGTTTTTGCGTAAAAGAGTAACAAACATCCACCCACACATACAAACTTTCACGTTTATAATATTAGTAGGACTAGCTGACCTGGCAAACGTTCTTTTGTCTAAAGAAGTATCTATTTCGTCAAAAATTTGATTTCCATAAAGACGGCTCTAGGATGTTAATCTTGAAATGTAGACATATAATATTGCCATGGATTTTTTAAACATAATAATTGTTTTATACATATTTCTTGGTATCCGTTGTAATCCGTTTTCGGAGCTCACGCAATGACAACAAAGATGAATATTTTCTCCGTTTTTTCAACACTTCCCATCGTTTCTTTACCTCTATTGGTTACAGCTTGATATTTTATAGCCTAACGCCTTCCCATAGCCGCCTCTGTAGCCAAATGGTTAAACGTATTGCCTAGCATTGCGTTAAACGCAAACGCGAACGGGTTCCAATCCCAGGGAAACAAAAAATTGTTTCGGTCGGGCAGGGCACAGAAGGCTGATCTACTACTTACTGTTAAAGAACGAATCAGTGAAACAGACACAGAAATGTGTTCGCCCCATACCCCACGAGTGGGGAAACGGGATTTTACACAAACAACGCCTTTCCATTCCATTATAAATCAAACCTAAAAATAAACATTTTGAATTCGGTCTAGTTAATGAATAGTCCCAGAAATAAGCGTGTTTAAACAAATAAAAAATCTCTACAGCTTTATAACATTAAGTCTATTTTTTCCAAAAAAATGTCTCCTTTTTGATATTAAATCATTTACGAGTATAAATCATTTTCAATACGATGATTTGTTATAACGGTTAATATAAGTCAAAAAATTAGTACGCAACAACTTTTTAGCACATCGCGTCTGAATTATTCTTACATGTTATTTGACCTTAAATTTTTGCATTAATTGACAACTGAATTCAATAAAGTTCAGTGCACTTAACTGAATAAATGATTTTATATAAGAATATTATTTTACAAGGCACAACCTTTTTCATTATTAAAAATAAAGTCAAGAACTTTAATCACTCAAGTTAACATTTACAATATTAAACTTGCCTTTTATCGACTTTTGGAGCGTGTAGATTTAAAATTGAACTAGTTTTAGTATTTAGTTGATAACTACAGTGTTATTATAACCACTTAAGTGATGGGAAACATTAAACGAATACAAGAATATGAGGTAGATTTACAGATTAATTAATTATTGTTAATTATTTCGTATTCACTGAATTACGTACGATTATTTCCTTCTTCACTTTGTATATGAGGCATACACATATGTTTGTATCACTTCTATATTCAGACAAGTAGGTATATAATTAATCTGCCCATGCACATATGAATCTCTCGAAATGCAATACCAGGAAATTTACCATTGAGCCAAGAGTAATCTTTGGAGAGCATTAAAAACAACAGTTTGTTTTGCATATCATCGTCTTTCGGGCTGTTCGGCCAACGTCGAGACAATGATATGCTGAACGATGACCGTGAAAGCCTTACACAATTTATTAAAAGTTTGTTTTAATTTTTTTTAGTGTAGTATAATTTTCATTACGCAGTACACACTCATTATCATTCAATTTCTTGTATGACCTCAAATGTTATCTCGTGTACTTTCACTAGTCTCAGCAGAATCACTGCTTTGCGCCAAGAATTTCTCTTAAAACCGTGTTTACAGCTTTCACAAAACCTAACTAAAGCCGCCCTTTATTTGATAGGCGGTTAAATAAAACTACCACATGCAGCACATGAAGGCACTATACAATTTAAAAATCAAAAATACATTGAAAAATATTTTCGACTCGGGCAGGATCTGAATCGGCATCGTCAGCTTTCCGTGCTGTTGCTCTACCAATTGCGCTACCGAGTCCTACGCCTCATCGTCGAAATTTTTTTTTTAAATTTATTTTCGATTTTTAAATTAAAACTACCCTCCTGAAAACTTCCCTTTTACCAAAGCCTGGATATTTTTTATTGTTTGACTATTAGAAGATGTAGGTACGAATGCATTCAGGTTTATGCGGTGTTTTCAACAATTATCTATAAACCAACGCGGTTAAGTGAAACCATAATGGTTTTTACACGTCCATTGTTCGAAACAATAGACGCAAAATCCTTTTAAAGTTTCTTCACAAGGTTGAATGCTGTTCATGTCCCAATTTGTAATGCTGATCTACTTAAGTGTATATCTTTATATTTAAATAGTTATCGATACAAAATGTTTATAAATGTCAAGGGCGCTACATATAAGTAAACAGAGTTTGGAAAAGTCGTAGAAATATTTTACCTTACTTCTTTATTTTATTTATTTACACATCAATCAAAAATTTCAACTTTCTTTGTAGGAGAAATAGTGTCACAAAATTCAAAACAAAAAGTACTTATATATATTATGGTACACAAATGAACTTGTATAAATTAAAAATATATTAAATACTGTCTGTAATTTACGCGAGTAGTACACATTTAAATAAAACACTTTAACGGTTTAAAACGCGATATATTTTATTTCAACTTGTTTGAAAACTATTTTTAACTACGGCCAGACATTTCGGATGCTTAGCAGCAGCAGCAGGGAGATATCTCGTCTCCGCGTGACCACGACTGCTTGCTGCTGCATGTTTTATTTAAAAATATATATATACTATATAGAAAAAGAAAGTCGATGTCACGGGCGTTACTCGTAGTTCTCTACCAATTAGTAGCATAGTATATTTTCAATCTAAAATATATCTTTAATTATTTTTATGTTAGAGAAGATAGGCCAGCTAGGGTTTCATTTGAAAGGTGAAATACTCCAGCCAAATTTTTGTTTTAAAAATTCTGTAAAGAATGAATTTTCTTAGATTGATATCATATTTTATTTATATCGACGCGCTCGGTCGATATCGATATCGACCTATTTTGGCTTTGGATATTCCGAAATCCAAAGATTATAACTGAATCTCGATTGAAATGAAACCATTTTCAACTCTGGACGGTGGTAAATGAAATGCATATAATTGTAAGTATATTAACTTACTTTTAATGCCATCCATTTTTCACATAAAATGTTATGCGGCATCCTTGAGTTTTCAATAATAAATCGTATTGATCATGTACTTATATAACAAGAGTTACATAAACGTGTTGATTATCGATTTGTTGTTAACCATAGATATTTATTAAATGAGTATGAATAAATCCGGTCTTGCGCAGTTGCGAGTAGATATAACAGGAGGGAATTAGATGGCGTTGGATATCATTCAGGAAGGTAGTGAGTCATGGTTCAATTTTAATTTGACCGCGTAAGCATCAACACAGATAAATATAAGTGCATACCGCACTGTGATACCGCACAACTGCATAAGTAGGTGATTCAATTTGTAGTGGTCTTGATTGTACTAAAGTGATGGTAAATGACGAATACGAAAACTATAGGTATGTGTTTATTAGGATTACACCAAAATCTGTATCAATAATGACAAAGGGTTGAAATGCTTGAAGGTAAATAACGAGTAGAAAGTATTTTAGTTGGTAGCGAAAATTTTATTCTATTGAATCTGCAGACGCCAATAACAATAAATAAATGAATTAAGACATTTCGACTTTTGGCTTTCTTTTTTTTTGTGATAGAAGACAGATAAGCTAGGAATTCACTTGAAGGAAATAAAATGACATTACTTGAAACGCACTTCTTCGCTAACAAGATTCTCTATGACCAATTTTGGCTTTAGTTATTTCGTTTTATTCACAGATTCCGGCAGTTTTAGATTGAAAAGAAGGACATAGACTGTTTGAAGCGTGTTGCGTTACTTTTTCATATTAATCTTGCCC